GGGCTGGCAAGGGGAGGCCCTGGGCATTTGCCCATTGGTTTTCAAACGTATTGACCACCGACGTCAGCGTCAGCGCCGACGCCAATGCCAATGATCTACGGATACATGGCGCGCTGTGGTTCTGCGACCAATGGCTGTATTATAAGGGTACACATTTTATTTATGGGTGCGTTTTGTGGCAGGACAAATACGGCGATACCATCAACATTTACGACGGTAAACATCGAATTGGTACCCGAATTTGTACCGATAGCATCGCTGAAGGTATCCACCAATCCCACATTATCGGGCATCGACTTGGGATATTCTCTCGGCTACAACACGACCGTTTTTGACTTCGGTGCTTCTGGCAGTACGGGGAATAAATATTATATTTTTAGACGTTTCGCGTATCCCTACAAGTTTTTTTTTTACAGCCGCAGGCGGGAGCGCCGGCGGCGATCAGTCACGGTCGGGTTGCGGCCGCGACTAAATTCCCGGGCGCGCGCGGGAGCCGCGGATCAGGCGGCGGTAGCGGCAATTCAGGGCGTTTGAGAGGCCAGGCAGTCGTGCAATCCCAAGGAGTTTGAACATATATGTATATATATATATACAAAAATATCCCCACCAGCCCGTCTAGAAACGACGCCCAGGCGAGTAGAAAGTCGTCTTGAGGTGCTTTTCGGCGTCTTGAGTGCCCCGGGGGGGCTTCTGTGGGCCGTTCGGGATCCTCGTTGGAGCCTCCTGGGGGCTTCTTGGGGCCTCTTCGGGCCATTTTGGACCCTTTGGATGCCTCCTGGGCGTTTCTTGGGGCCATCTTTGCTTCCTCAGGAGACTAAAATAGGGACACAATCTTAATATAATCAATGAATTCGGCTTCCTCGCCGAACCCGTTTTGGACGCTCTGACTGCTCGCGGCTCCCCCTGTCCAGGCCCACGGGGAGGAGGTAGGGGAAGGGGTAAGCTCCTCCCGGAAGGGAAAGAGGGAGGGGTGGAAGAGGAAACGCCTTAAACCACCGACGCCCAGAGGGCTGGTGGGATTACCTCGATTAGGGAGGTGGACAGCACACAGAGGAAACCAATATGAGACATCTTGGGATTTCTTGAGCCATTTTGGAGGTTATTTTGGGCTCTCCGAGGCGCTCTTGGAGTCATTTTAATCAGTGCCTCCTCCCAAGAGGCCAACATGTGGCTAAAACTTATATATATATATATATATAGGAAAGAAAAAGGAAGAGGAGGCGATCGGGGGGGGCAAGCCCCAAAAAAAGCGGCGACGCGCGACGCGCGCACCATGCTCTCCAAGCACGGCGGCCGGGGGTGGAGGAGAAAGGAGGGAGGAGGAAGGGACACGGCGGACGACAGCGAGAACGACAGCGGCAGGCAGAAGGAGAAAGGGAGGGGGAGGAAGGGGGAGGGAGGGGAAGGGAGGGGAAGGGAGGGAAGAAGGGGCGAACAAAAAAAGACAGAGATTAAACGTGAGGAAGCCAATCCCTGCAGCCGCGCAGGCGGCGATGTGCGAGCGGGACGCGGCAACTGAAAAGATGCGCCCAGTCAGGGCCGGAATTCGCCACATCGCGCATTAGAGCTTGCAAGCAAGACTGAAATTCGTGAACTGACGGAGCAGCGACCACGCTGTCGGGGGGAGGTTATAGACGCTGACAAGGCCTAGCACGGAGCGCCGGGCAAAATCTGGGGCACGAAGCTGGAGAGGGCCAGCCAGGTGCCGGGCGTGGCGACGAGGGGAACGAGGAGGGGGAGGGGGGGCAGGGCGAAAGAAAGAAGCGAAGTGACCAGGACTGAGACCTAGCACAGAACGATGGATAACCCCAAGCATTGCGATGTCTCTTCTTGCACACAGCGGAGCCAAAGCAAAGTGATTGAGGGCATCAAGATCAGAAATGTCCAAGCTACGAAGAAAACTGTTTTGAATGGCGTCAAGGGGAGCGAGAGCAGAGGAAGAAGCGAAATGGAATGCACAGGTCCTATATTCGATAAAAGATAAACTTGGGCCTTGTATAATTCAAGTAATTCGGCCGGATTCTAAAATCTGCGGCAACGAAGCAGACTCTGGATTTTCCATCCACAGTCCGAAATACATGCCAAAATGGCTTCGTGCATTAGCAACCGTGTGTCGAATACTATACCCAGAAGCTTGAAAGAATCGCCCCAAGGCCGGCTGCGAGACAGGATGCGTGTACTCTCCTTGCCAGGATCAAAGACGATCCTGTTCGCAGCGCCCCAGCGGTGTAGAGAGGTTTGACATTCAGCCAGCATGCGGCGCGCCTGGTCGTCTGTAACATTATTTTCGACCGAGCGGATCGCATTCAGGTCGTCCGCATAAACAATTTCTTCGAATCCCGTGGCACGAACAGCCATGCAGGAATCCGAGAAAAATGCATTCCAAAGCGGCGGTCCTAGCACAGTGCCCTGGTAAATCATGTTTTCCATGCGCACTGGGGCAGAATGCTGCCCCTGAACGATAACCCGCGCCGTGCGCTGCTCCAGCCAGCTAGCAAGGACACCGAGCACACTCTCTGGAACGGAGAAGCCGCGCAGCTTCGCAAGCAGACGCGGCACGTCGACTCGATCGAAGGCGCCGCTGACGTCTGAGCAATACAGCAGGACGCGGCGACCAGAGGAGAAGGCGCTGATACATTGTAACACAAAATGCAGCACTGCGTCCCGGGCCCTTATAGATCACCCAAGGAAGGGCTACCCTAGGGCTACCCCTAGGGCCTACCCCTAGGGCGACCGTAGGCCTACCCCTAGGCCCTACCCCTAGGGCTACCCTAGGCCTACCCCTAGGGCCTACCCCTAGGGCTACCCTAGGCCTACCCCTAGGGTCTACCCCTAGGGCTACCCTAGGGCTACCCCTAGGGCCTACCCCTAGGGCTACCCTAGGGCTACCCCTAGGGCCTACCCCTAGGGCTACCCTAGGGCTACCTCTGGGGCCTACCCCTAGGGGTACCCTAGGGCTACCCTAGGGTGTCCAGTAGGGCCTATCCTTGGGAAGCCTAGGGCCTTCAGTATGTGTAATCCGCCACACAAGCAAGCAATGCCTTTAATGTCCCGCCCGCCCGCCCGACAAAAGGAATCAGCTTGTAGTCCGCCATAATAGTAATCAACTTGGAATCCGCCGCCAAATGGAATCACTTTGTAATCCGCCACGAAAGCAATCAATGCATTTAATGTCCCGCCCGCCCGCCCGACCAAAGGAATAAGTTTACAATCCGCTGCCAAAAGGAATCCATTTGTTATTCACCACACAAGCAATTGTTGCATTCAATGTCCCGCCCGCCCGCCCGGCAAAAGGCGCCCGACCAAAGGAATAAGTTTAAAATCCGCTGCCAAAGGGAATCCACTCGCAATTTACCAAACAAGCAATCATTGCCTTTAATGTCCCGCCCGCCCGCCAGACAAAAGGAATCAATGTGTAATCTGCCACAATAAGAATCAGTTTGCCATCCGCCACACAAGCAATCAATGCCTTTAATGTCCCGCCCGCCCGCCCGACAAAAGGAATCAGCTTGTAATCCGCCACGAATGGAATCTACTCGTAATCCGGTACCAACGGGAAGCAATTGGTAATCCACCACACAAGTAAGCAATCAATGCCTTTAATGCCCCCCCCGCTCCCGACTAAAGGCATCAAGTTGTAATCCGCTACCAAGGGGAATCAACATGTACTCCGCCACCAAAGCAATCAATGCATTTCATGTCCTGCCCTACCCGCCCGACCAAAGGAATCTGTTTGCAATCCGCAATAAAAGGGCTACCCCTAAGGCCCACCCCTAGGGCTACCCTAGGGCTACCCCTAGGGCCTACCCCTTGGGCCTATCCCTAGGGCTACCCTCCCTCTGCGCGCGGCCGACTCTGAGCCTAGGGTCGCCTACCCCAGGGGGGGGGGGTCCCAGAGGGGGGGTCGGCGAGGGAGGGTCAGCGAGGGGGGGTCTGCGAGGGGGGGTGGGGAGGTCTGCGAGGTGTTGGTCTGCGAGGGGTGTCTGTGAGGGGGGTCAGCGAGGGGGTGTCAGCGAGGTGGGTCCGCCCAGAGGGGGGTCAGCGAGGGTGGGTCGCGAGGGGGTGTCCTGCGAGGGAGGTCAGTGCGGAGGGGGTCTGTGAGGGGGGGTCAGCGAGGGGGGTCAGCGAGGGGGAGTCTGCGAGGGGGGGTCAGCGAGGGGGGGTCTGTGAGGGGGGTCCCAGAGGGGGGGTCAGCGAGGGGGGGTCCCAGAGGGGGGGTCAGCGAGGGGGGGTCTGCGAGGGGGGGTCAGCGATGGGGGGATCAGCGAGGGGGGGTCCCAGAGAGGGGGGTCT